TTCCCAGATTCACCACTCAGACTTGAAGGTAGTCTGGCTAGGAAGGCCTTTACACAGCTTCACCTTGCGAACCAATTGAGTCCAGTTCTGGATTTGGATGCCCTATTTTCAGTCATTAATACCTTATGTACTTCTTGGTGGGTTTTATATTAATGTGATTTAGATGGTCTGCCCTTGAAAAACTGGAAGCGGTCCAAAGTGCAACAGCTGGCAGTTTGGGGCGTGCCATGATATGCCAATTTAATACCCCTGTTCTGTGAGCTGCACTGTCTTCCATTTAGGTTCTAGGTACAATACAAGGTGACATACAATTTAAGGTGCTGGCTATCATCTGTAAAGTTCTACATGGCACAAAATCAGATTATTTGTGGGACCGCCTGTCTCTGATTATTTCAGCCTGCTCTATCAGAATTAGCATTGTTGTTATTCTCCAGGCCCTGTCTTTTAGACAGCATCGTCTTGTGGGACCTAGCAATCATATTTCCTTTATCATTGAACCTGTCCTATGGAACAGCATCTCCCCCAAGGTGTGGATGGCCCCAATTCTGTTGGCCTTTTGGAAGATATTCAAAAACTTGGATTTACCCACAGGCATTTATTCCAGGTGGTTCAGTGAGTATAGTTTGATTGGTTTTCTGGTGTGTTAGTGATTCAAAGCAGGGGGTTTCTTTTTCATGGATGCTATTGTATCACTGTTTTTCTAATATTGGATTTTTAAAATTCTAACTGTTTGGTTTTGATTTTGATTTTAACCTTCTATGCGCTGCCTAAAGCCACTTTGGTTAAATAGGTGGCTATATAGATTTCCTAAATAATTAAATCTTGATATGATTTGCTTGAAATAGTACATTATTAATGCTAGTTCTATTTTAGAATATCATTTTTTTTAAAAAATATTGCTTAATATTTAGAGTAGACAGAAACATCTTTCATTCAAGAGCATTACTAGTAGCAGCAATATTTTTTTTAAAAAGTCTAGATGAGTAGATAAATAGATGAACTGACAAAAAGAGATAAGAAAAGTATTATATTTTCAGTTTCACATATGTTGAAATAATCCCTTAGTGTTGGGAAGCTGTAGTGTTGGGGGTCACTTATAAATATAATCAAATATACACACATTGATCAGCCATTATTTTCCAGGAAAAGAACAATCCAGATTTATATTTTAATCCCTAGAAATATTTTTAAAATAAGTTTTACTTTAATTTCATCAATTCTCTGAACACCAATATCAAATTTTCATTCTACTTCTAATCATTTTTCAATATAAAGATATCAAAAATTGCAAATCATGACAACTAGTATCTTAACGAACTTTATTTTAGTCCTATCATTTCAACTGTGTTATTACAATTGTTTACATTGGATAGATATTATATTTAACACAAGTAACAAAAAGTACTGTGTTTATATGCAAGTATTGGGTTTCCCCATTTAATCATATTTTTGCAATATAGATTTTTGCCAGAAAATATGTAGTAGAACAGTCTCAGCCACAAGCATAATGAATATATTTTATAAGCCATGCACGCATAATTGCTTAATTTAAATATGCAATGAAGTATTCGATTTCTCATACATGGTTACTTTGATACTTCATGTATATAAATTACAGGAATAAAATATGTATCTGGAAAAGCACACATTGAGCTTGGGTTATACATTTTACCCAATTCAATGTATATGAAAAGTACTTGCAAAGAGCATGTTCCAGCAAAATTCAGGATGACTTTACCTGGGACTCAAGATGCAGATTGAAACTGACTAAAACTGAGATTGTCTAGTCAATTTCAATCTTGTGTCAATGTCATTGATAAAACCCCTCTGTTGCAGTTCTACTGCAACTGCTGAGTTGACCCTAAGAGAAAAAGGAAAAGGGAGGGAAAGTAGAAAGCAAGGAAAAAGACAGAAATAAGGAAGATAGAAAAACAACAGATTTACAGAGTAAGACACACAAAGGACAAGAAAAGAATAGAAAACAGGAAACAGTTTTTGAATCTTCTCTACTTTCCATATGGCTTTTTGATATTTTCATACATTAAAGATTATTATGATAAAGATTATTATGATTATTATGTGATTCTTCACATAAAACATATGTCAATGAGATTATAAAAGGCTTAAAGCCAGAATATTATTCTGCACTAATATTTATTTATTAAAAAGAGTAATAATTCTTCTCAAGTAAACATAAATTTAAATCTTAAATTTATTTTAGTTGAAGATCTTGCTTACCTCTCTTTATGTTCAAGATAATAAACAAGATGTGGCACTTTTACTGGAAATGCTAAAATACTTTTCAGAGCTAGATAGAAAATTCTTAAGAGTTAATCATTTCAGCCTGGATATGTCCTACTGTGCTCTGTAAACATATGTTCTCCTATTATTGGATTGTGGTTATTGCTGTTTTGATTTTAAAGCATTTTCAAAAACTTTATATTTGTTTATTATTTATCTTATATATTGTATAATCTGTGTCTGTGTGTGTGTGTGTTCTTAAGATAATGTCTGTGCTAAAACTATTCAATGGGTATATTAAAATGTGTCATGATTTTCACGTAAGTAACTCCAAAATATTTCAGAAATAAAATGTAAACTGTTAAAAGGACCACTGAAGTTCTCTCCTTCCATGAAATGGCAGTGCGGAGAAAATCTTGTGTTTTTTAAAATTACATTCCATTTCTATGTTATATCTTGTCCCCAGAAAACTGGACCTTCCTGGATAATATTTAGAAAGACCTAAGAATCAAGTTTTTCCATGGATCTCTCAATTTAGCAAGATTTATTATTTTTAAGAATTTGCATGGTCAGTTAATATGGATGGTAGGCTGATTTCTATCAAGTTGCATTACTAATTTTATAGCTTTATAATTTTTTATACAGTGAGTCCTTATGTTATTGGCAATATATAAACAAACTAAATAAAATAAACAACAAAAAGGATCTTATTTCTTTTCATCCATATTTCCCAAAAAGTAACAAAACCTGATATGTTTAGCAGATTCCTGGCTTATTATATGTGAATCAGGAATTGTATTTCAACATAATTTCTAACCAATTGTTTAAAATATCAACTTTAAATACTTGTTTAACAAGTTTACTTTTAAACGATTCCTCATTTACATATAATAAACCAAGAGAATCCTTCTATACTTCACACAACTTTCTTTCTCTGCTAATTCTCATAGTTGTTTAATTATTATACTCTAACATTTTTCGTAGTAAACATCAGTCACCTACCCAATTATTGTTCATGAATATACTGTTATTTCTTTGTTCTAACATTACACTCCTTGTCATAAGTAACACTTATCACTCCAGTTTCCTGATTTTAAATTTATAATTTGTCCAGTACTTGCAATTTAACAATTGGATTTTTTTTTAAAGCAACCAGAAGTAAACTGTAACTTCAGATACAGTAACTTACTTTCATACATTTTTCTTTCTTTCTTTTTCATAAACATGCCTATAAAGAAATCAGCTATTACATTCTATGGCTACAATTCCTGGGAATAAATGTTATTTTCAATATTCTGAAACTCTACATTAGATGATCTTACACCAAAACTATAGAAAATATGTAAAGTAGTATTCTGATTTTTTTTCAATTTAACAATGAAACAAAAGTTTGTTTTAAACAGGTGACACATTCTACACTCTTTTCAACTAGAAATCTGACAAACAAGCCAAATACTCAAATTTTCCATTTTGTAATATTCATTTATATTAAATATATTTGAAATGTTCTCCAGATTCCTCAGATTCACAGTGTATTTATTTTTTCTAGATTTTCCTAAATATATTTTAGGAGAAAGGAAGAAGGATGACTAGAACGGTTTCTTTGCCTTTTAATGGTCCTATACAGTAATAGCTACAGATGCAAAAAACAAGTCTTTTTCCTCCACCAGTTTAAAATAGTAATAGCTTACCCATTGCCATCCTATTATGTCTATAATATTTTCTAGACGCAAACTCTTTAGAAAACAATACTGTAATGGTAATGGTATGGATTTCTAGAACACATTGTCTGATAATACCACGACTTTTGAAAGAAATAATTTCTGCTGTTTTAAAATCACTCTAAGGGAGTACATGGAAGTGGTAGTACGTTTCTAGGGTTATATCTGATGCAATCTAATAGACCATTCTATCAGACTGTACATAATCATCAAGACTTTTTGACCAATAATAGATAATATGATGATGAATTATACTGCTGATCATGTTTTTAATTGATTGTAGATCGTTTTTATATCTATCTTTATATTGGTTCTTAATTTATTTTATTGGATTTTTTTAACCTATTGTTAGTTGTCCAGGGTCACTTAGATGAAATAAGCAGCCATTCAAAACAATTCAAATCAACTTAATGTCTCATTTTATGAAATGCTACCAGTGTTTAATAGCCCACATTGTTGTGTATAAGATGGTTGGGGGGAATTAACGTTTTGCACAGCTTATAAATCTTTAAAGATAGTAGTAAGGTTGTTACAAGTTTCCAGTTTTTAAAATAATTGATAAAAAATATTTACAGAAATAATATACCACTGTTAATTTAAATAGACCTGCTCTTAACATTACTTCAGACTCTTTTGATTTTAAGATGCAAAACTGTTAGCATAACAATATAATTTTGCTATTCATTTACAGCCTGGAATTACAATGCTTCTCTGTAACACAACCAACCTATAAAAACCAATAGCACTTGTTTCAAATATTATTTTTATTATCTCAATGATAAAATAAGATCTGCCAAAAAAGAAGACTGAACTAAATACAATATCATAGTAATTACCCAAAAAAATCTATTTTGATGTCAGATGTTTGCAAAATTGTTCTATATTGTATAAAACCTCTCATCCATATAACCCTTACCCAGATAAATAATTCTTTGCCGTGAAGGAACTTCATATGAATCCAGTCATATTTCTGTAAGAACAAAAGGATACTTACTTGTGTTTGCTGAAGATATAAACAAATAAATTTAATAATATCACCTGTTCATTCACTCTGGAATGTGATGGCCCATGATGGATAAGAATCTTCACAATCTCTACATCTCCTTTCCAAGCAGCCAAGTGTATAGGAAAATACCCTTTATTATCTGCTACATTAGTGGATGCTTCATATTGAAGTAATTTGATAACTACATCCCTGAAAAATATTTTAAAAATGCACTAAGGATTGACAGATTCCTTTACAAAACTGTGAATTTATAGCACATACTGACAAAATATACCAAAACAACCACAAAATTATTCTTATGACACTGTCATCAATGCTAAGAAGCAGAAAGCAGATGTGTTTAAGAAATTTAGAAATGATTATAACTATTATAATCATCATACTCTTTAAATCATCACTGAATAAGAGATTAGAAATTATATATTCATAAAAGGTTTACTCTCTTGAGACATGCTTTAATTTGGAAGTTGTTAGTTAATGGCTAGATCTCATATTACAAAACAAATATAAATCACAGGAATTGAAGAAATGATTCATATTAGAGGTTCACAGTTAAAGATTTTAAAACTCCTATCTTCCTTCAATCATATAATAGTAAAAAAAAAACGGTCACTCTTATAAGTTCTGTAAACTATCTCTCTAGCTAGAAAGAATTGCTAAGACTGGAATTTTGTTTCATCAACCACTGAATTTCAAGTAGTTGTTTATAATTAGGCACCATAACCCAGCATCCCCAACCTTTCCAGGTCCACAGACTGGCAGCGATGGTGGCAGGATGAGAGGATGGAAAAGGGATGGTTTTGTGCATGCGCCCACAGCTTTTGTGGACTGGTTCCCAACAGGTCATGGACCAGTACTGGACTATAGACTGGGGGCTGGGCACCCTGCCATAAGTAATTACTAGGAATTCTGGATATCACATACAGAAGGCATGGCTGCCCTATGTTATTACTGGCCACTGGATCTTCTTGGACAAGCAAGGTTACAGAAAAAGTTCCTGCTCCTGTTGAACTATGTCTCCTAAGCAACATCATTTTTATCAGATTTGGTGTGTTCCTATATTCTTTGATTGTTCAGTAATAGTAATAAATTCTGATCTGTTTTTTATTCCTCACTACTTCCCTGGCCCTGAAAACTAGTTTTATCTCTTGTCTTGTCCTTTTTGGTACAATTGTTGATTCTTGATGGTTATCTCTTGCTGACAAACTGCATATGATTCAACCCTGATATTCCAACTCTAGTTCCTCATTGCATATATCTCCTTTTTTTTCAAGATCCTAATTTCCTAATCACATTTTGATTCCCTTTCTTTGATCTTTTAAAGTACCGGATTTTTCTTCACTATCTTTTTTTCCTTCAAGAACTACAGTATATTAGATTCTCTATGAAATTCTATTTTGAAAATATTTCATATGAGCAGTAGCAGATAAAAAGATTGCATGTACCAAAAGAGAGCACATTGCAAATAAAATATGATAAATAAAACATTCAAAATCATTTCTGAAAGTCTTTGAAAAACCAATATTCATCCATTGATCCATCCATTTATTTATTTTATTTATTAGTTTGTCAAACATGTACCAGATAACAGAAATAAGTATGAACGTGTACATGAACAAAGGAAATGAATACAAATAAATGGGGACAGTAGGACAGTGACGGTAAGCATGCTGGTGAGCTTATGCACGCCCCTTTACAGACCTCTTAGGAATGGGTTGAGGTCCATGGTGGACAGTTTAAGGTTAAAGCTGTGCGGGTTTGAGGATATAACCCAAATAGATATTTTATTGTAGATCACTTATATTACAAAAACTATATGTCTTGACCATAGATATTACCTCTCCCAACTCAATTCCAAACTGGAATGTCTCTTTACTCTCCCTAGAGGAGCCCCCTCTACTTTAACCAGTGATTCCCCTACAGTCCATTCATTCAAGTTATATGTTACTCGATTTCTAAGAATAACAGCTTACTGATAATAACAAAAATTAAAATATAAAAATAATTATATAAGTATAATATGCCTCCCTGATATGTTACTGTTTGGCAGAAGAATCTTCAAGCATCTCCAAATGTTTCTCCGAGCAGCCATGAACAGTCAGCAGTTCAAAAATATAACACGGAGGGTATGATCTAAATACAAATACAAATAACGATGCCAGTTGCCATTAGAATTGCCATCACTAAGCGATGTGGTCTTAAAACATGGCATCACATAACTGTACCATTTTGCAACAGCAATTCCAGCACTCAACATTGCCAGTAAGTGAATCACTGTAGGCCATTAGTGTGGATGTCACACAATCATTTTGTGACCTCCTGTCAGCTTCCTTGTGGCACGACAAAACCGCGCTCGTCAAAATAGCAGTGATAAAACCGCGTCGCTAAAGCCGTGATGTCATCACCGCCGCGACAACAGCGGTGGCGACAGAAGAGCGCTTTAAAACAGCGCGGCGGCAGAAAGCCAATTTAAATTAAGGTAAGGGTTAGGGTTAGGGTTAGGTTTAGGGTTAGGGTTAGGTTTAGGGTTAGGTTTAGGGTTAGGTTTAGGGTTAGATTTAGGGTTAGGTTTAGGGTTAGGTTTAGGGTTAGGTTTAGGGTTAGGGTTAGGGTTAGGTTTAGGGTTAGCGTTACGGTTAGGTTTAGGGTTAGATTTAGGGTTAGGTTTAGGGTTAGGTTTAGGGTTAGGTTTAGGGTTAGGGTTAGGGTTAGGTTTAGGGTTAGGCTTAGGGTTAGGGTTAGGGT